AACAAACTTTGTAATAACTACAAAACAAACATATCTGATACCAAGTTTATGATTATTATTTTATTTACATTTTAGGTTTTAAATTAGAACGATAAAGAGCCGTGATAGGGCTGCTCGATTTGGACTTTAAACAAGTTGTTTTCACATCTGCATTCCTGAAAATATCTCCATAACATCAGGAGGACTGCTCCTGAAATCCTCCTGATCTGGTCGTTCACACGCTATCCCTGTCAGACAGGAGGGGGGCGGGGCCTCTGTATGACTCTATAGTGAGAATATGTGTGTTTGTATCAATGCTGCGTGTAGTTGAAGAGAATCTCAATGTGAAGTAAAGAGAGGAGAAGAACATCCTGGAGAACAGGAAACATGCAGCAGCAGGTTCATTAGAGCACGGAGATGGTAGAGGTGGCGTGCAGACAGTTTATGGTCGTACAGCGATCACAGGGAATAAAGGTCACCACCCCCTTCCACTGGCCCCTCCCACTGGCTCCTCCCACTGGCTCCAGGTGAATTCTCCTGATTATATCCTGCTGTGTTCTCACATCAGCTCACTCTGACTTTCTGCAGAATAAACACGAGGAGGCTGGAGGAGAAACATTCAGATGTTTGAGTGATCACATGAAGCTCAGAGTGAAGAGAGAAACATTCAGATGTTTGAGTGATCACATGACGCTCAGAGTGATAACTTCAGGAGTTTTCAGGAGTTTTCAGCAGGTGTGAACGCTCTAATACTGAGCGTTTAAATCTTTTGAACTCCCCTGATATATGAGACCATTTCTTGCTGTGTTTTATAGAAGAGCTGTTTCCTGTCATCTATTTGAAACTCTGCAGACAAAAATAACTTTTAAATGAATCATTGAAAACGCCCCCCTCAGGTGGCGCTGCTCGTGGCCTTCCTGTGCGTCCGCTGCGCCCGGGGCTGGCCCAGCTGGGCAGCCTTCCAGTACTTTGAGGTGGTGTCTCTGTGGTTCCTCATCGCGCTCCTCATCTTCTTCCTCATGCACCTCTTCAGACTGCAGGGCAGGATGCCCTGCATCAACTGGCCTCTGACGGTGAGACCATTACTGTGTGTGTGTGTGTGTGTGTGTGTGTGTGTGTGTGTGTGTGTGTGTGTGTGTGTGTGTGTGTGTGTGTGTGTGTGTGTGTGTGTGTGTGTGTGTGTGTGTGTGTGTGTGTGTGTGTGTGTGTGTGTGTGTGTGTGTAACATTAAATCTGCTGCAGGTTCATGGTGTGAATTTCTTCACTTCTTCATTTTCGACTGAACTGTAACACAGATCTGACAGTTAGGTCGTCATGGTTATATAACAGGAAGTGACCTCGGAGGGTGTAAAAAGGAAGGAAGGACGCTTCTGTTGCAAATTGAGCAGGTGTTACAACCATCTCATGCTTTTCTTGTAAAGATGAACTTATTTTCATGCTGTGAAAACATCTGAGATCAGCTCTTCAAACACACTCAACCTTCACATGAGGTCAAACATGAGGTCATTCATGAGGTCAAACATGAGGTCAAACATGAGGTCATTCATGAGGTCAATCCTGCAGCCTGTTTACAGCTGCCTTTAATTGAACAGCTTTAATAAGATTTTAAACTTTTACTCTGCACTGTAATTATTATTATTATTATTATTTTTATTTCAATTCATTTCATTTGAATTATTTTTATTTGAACATATTTTCAGATTTAATAATTTCAGTGATTTTTTAATGTTCTATTTTAATGTTTCTTTTCTTTCCTCTGTCATGATGCTTTTTGATGTCTTGTGTGAAGCCCTTTGAATTACCTTGTTGTTGAAATGTGCGACATAAAAAAACTTGCCTTGCAGCCTGAGCCTGGGTTCAGATCAACTACACATGAAATCTGCTGTCAGGACATTAAAGTTTAAAGCTTGAATTAATTCAATTATAAAGATCTGAGAGGAGTTCTGTCCACTTTATGTTTAACAGTTTATGATGTTTTAAAGGTCACTTATGTGGTGGAATTTCTGTAGTTATTTAGATTCTAATGTACAGATGTCATTATGTTTATTCTCTGTTCTCTAATGTCAGTCAGAGCTGACACAGTTCAGCTGTTATTAGAACACCAAGTACAGCTTGGACAGTGTCAACTGTTCTTCCTGATATCTGTAAGGATGTTTGGTAGACTTGTTGTCTGCTCCAGTGTTATAGACGTCACAGTTTAGTCTAGGTGGATCAATGTGACCCTGATAATGATAATGTATTTTAGGATATATGCGATGCCTTTCGAGAAGTTCGGGAGATGTGATTGAGCAAGACACGAGAACAGAAGTGTGATGTTGAATCATGTCTCCTCATGAGTATTCATCTGATGTATAAACTTTCATCATCGTAAGCCATCTGAGTCAACTGAGTCTTATTGTATGGAGTCAAGTCTTAGTCATTTCCTCAACAACTTATTACACATTGCTCCGGTTTAACGTGACACAAGAGCAGGACCACTAATCACTTATCAGGTTGATAACGTGTTCATGTTGTTTCAGGAGTTGGAGGAAGGTTTAAATGTATTCTGCTCTCTTGTGTTTCTGTCCTCACACGCCCTCTTGTTGTTTTGTTTTCAGTGTTCAGTCTCCTCTCTGCTCACTCTTTCAAGTCTTTTTCTGCTGTTTCAGGAGTTCTTCCATTACTCCGTCGGGACCGTCCTCATCCTCATCGCCTCCATCATCGCAGCCGTGAAGAGCGGAGGAGTGTCTGCGTTGGTGGTCGCCTCGGTACGTAATCACACAGACGCTGAAATGATCATCAGAAGGGACAAGAGAGGTCAAAAAAAAAATCTATTGAGGACTGAAGTTAGAGACACATTGACATGACGTGTGATCGATAATCGTTTTGAATATTTAGAGGTTAATTTCCACTCTGATGAACGGCGTGCTGCGCGGCGTGCTAACAGACAGACGGGCTGCAGAGTGTCGGCTCAGTGTCGGCTCACTGCTCTGATGTTCTGACCTCAGATCAGCTCTCAGCTCCCTGCGGGGCCGAGCTCCGTCACACTCACACAAAGTGTTTCTGCGTACTCAAAACTCCTGAATATTTTCTGAGATCCTCGCTGTGAGCTGCAGGCGGGGACGTGAGCGACTGGAAGTTTCACCCTGACTTCATACGCAACACGAAGTATTCAGGAGAATGAACCGCGGGCGAGTGATGCAGAAACGGGTTGATGTGATTGGTTCCTGAAAACAGAGTCAGAGTGAGACCTCTGTGCTCTGAGACACAAAACAATCACCTCCGCTGGGAATTCCCGCTCCGTCCTTCCTGTGTCTGCGCTCCCTAATTACACAGGAAGTCACATTGACTTCACTGATAACAGCGTCCCTCTGACCAATCAGCCCCCCAGCTGATGGCTGCGTGACAGCCTGCTAACATTTAAACCCGCTAATGTTAGAGCCTGCTAACGTTTAAACCCGCTAATGTTAGAGCCTGCTAACATTTAAACCCGCTAATGTTAGAGCCTGCTAACATTAAAACCTGCTAATGTTAGAGCCTGCTAACATTAAAACCTGCTAATGTTAGAGCCTGCTAACATTTAAACCCGCTAATGTTAGAGCCTGCTAACGTTTAAACCCGCTAATGTTAGAGCCTGCTAACATTAAAACCTGCTAATGTTAGAGCCTGCTAACGTTTAAACCCGCTAATGTTAGAGCCTGCTAACATTAAAACCTGCTAATGTTAGAGCCTGCTAACGTTTAAACCCGCTAATGTTAGAGCCTGCTAACGTTAAAACCCTAATGTTAGAGCCTGCTAACGTTAAAGCCCGCTAATGTTAGAGCCTGCTAACCCCGCTAATGTTAGAGCCTGCTAACGTTAAAACCCGCTAATGTTAGAGCCTGCTAACGTTAAAGCCTGCTAATGTTAGAGCCTGCTAACATTAAAACCCGCTAATGTTAGAGCCTGCTAACGTTAAACCCGCTAATGTTAGAGCCTGCTAACGTTAAAACCCGCTAATGTTAGAGCCTGCTAACGTTAAAACCCGCTAATGTTAGAGCCTGCTAACATTAAAACCCGCTAATGTTAGAGCCTGCTAACGTTAAAACCCGCTAATGTTAGAGCCTGCTAACGTTAAACCCGCTAATGTTAGAGCCTGCTAACATTAAAACCCGCTAATGTTAGAGCCTGCTAACGTTAAAACCCGCTAATGTTAGAGCCTGCTAACATTAAAACCTGCTAATGTTAGAGCCTGCTAACGTTTAACCCGCTAATGTTAGAGCCTGCTAACGTTAAAACCCGCTAATGTTAGAGCCTGCTAACGTTAAAGCCTGCTAATGTTAGAGCCTGCTAACGTTAAAACCCGCTAATGTTAGAGCCTGCTAACGTTAAAACCCGCTAATGTTAGAGCCTGCTAACGTTAAACCCGCTAATGTTAGAGCCTGCTAACGTTAAAGCCTGCTAATGTTAGAGCCTGCTAACATTAAAACCCGCTAATGTTAGAGCCTGCTGACATTAAAACCCGCTAATGTTAGAGCCTGCTAACGTGACAGCTTGCTAATGTTAGAGCCTGCTGACATTAAAACCCGCTAATGTTAGAGCCTGCTGACATTAAAACCCGCTAATGTTAGAGTCTGCTAACGTGACAGCTTGCTAATGTTAGAGCCTGCTAACGTTAAAGCCTGCTAATGTTAGAGCCTGCTGACATTAAAACCGCTAATGTTAGAGCCTGCTAATGTGACAGCTTGCTAATGTTAGAGCCTGCTAATGTTAGAGTCCACTAATTTTAAAGCCTGCTATCGTGACAGCCTGCTAACGTTAAAACCCGCTAACGTTAAAACCCGCTAAAGGGACAGTCTGCTAACGTGACAGCCTGCTAACATTAAAACCCGCTAACGTGACAGCCTGCTAATGTTAAAACCTGCTAATGTGGCAGTCTGCTAACGTGACAGCCTGCTAACGTTAAAACCCGCTAATGTGACAGCCTGCTAATGTTAAAACCCGCTAATGTTAGAGCCTGCTAACGTTAAAACCCGCTAATGTTAGAGCCTGCTAACGTTAAAGCCTGCTAATGTTAGAGCCTGCTAACGTTAAAACCGCTAATGTTAGAGCCTGCTAACGTTAAAACCCGCTAATGTTAGAGCCTGCTAACATTAAAACCCGCTAATGTTAGAGCCTGCTAACGTTAAAACTCGCTAATGTTAGAGCCCGCTAATGTTAGAGCCTGCTAACATTAAAACCCGCTAATGTTAAAACCCGCTAACGTGACAGCCTGCTAATGTTAAAACCTGCTAACGTGGCAGTCTGCTAACGTTAAAACCCGCTAACGTGACAGTCCGCTAACGTGACAGCCTGCTAACGTTAAAACCCGCTAACGTGACAGTCCGCTAACGTGACAGCCTGCTAACGTGACAGCCTGCTAATGTGACAGTCTGCTAACGATAAAACCCGCTAACGTGACAGTCTTCTAACGTGACAGTCTGCTAACGTTAAAACCCGCTAACGTGACAGTCTGCTAACGTGACAGCCTGCTAACGTTACAGCCTGCTAACGTGACAGCCTGCTAATGTTACAGCCTGCTAACATGACAGCCTGCTAACGTGACAGCCTGCTAATGTTACAGCCTGCTAACATGACAGCCTGCTATCGTGACAGCCTGCTAACGTGACAGCCTGCTAACGTGACAGCCTGCTAACGTGACAGCCTGCTAATGTGAAAGCCTGCTAACATGACAGCCCGGTAACGTGACAGTCTGCTAACTTTAGAGCATGCTAACAGCTGTTTGTGGTTAAATAAATCCTCTTCCTCTGTAAAAAGAAGGTCGCTCTCTGTACGGGATCCTCTCTGTGATGATGTCATCACCCTAACCCTCCAAACACAAAACTAAGATCCAGCTTTGACATGAGAGTTTTGATCATGTGATGTGTGTTTGTCTGCAGGTGTTCGGCTTCATAGCCACGTTTCTGATGGCCGTTAGTTTGTGGACGACTTACAGTGTGACCTGTGGCGTTCATCAGACCGGTAAGACTGCTCATCGATGTATAATAATCACACGTTTTATTTTCTTATACTGTGATGAGTCTACGGGAAATATCAAACATTTTCAAAAGAGCGCCCGTGACGTTGACAGTGCATGTCAGAAAAGTTGAAAGATAGAAAAAAATGCTAGGTGGACACAGGGCTAACACCCCTCATTATAATTCTACCTGAGGAACAGAAACATTGCTTCATCAGCATTCATGAAACCAGCGTTCATATTTAAACTTCAGTATTAATGATAAATGTACTAAAGACGAATTAGGTTTATATTATTATTATTTTAAAATGTATTTAGTTTAAAGGCTTTATATGTGATGTTTTGATCCAGCAGATGTCGCCCTTGAGCTCCAGCATGAAACCAAAACAACTGGCGCTGCATTGTTGTGTTAGCATGCTAATGCTAGCGATCTTTGTTATGCTGGTATCTTCACACTGCATGTAAATTTACCTGAAATGAGCGTGATCTAGAAACACAGTTAAGCAGTGAGTACAGTATGTTATTCTTCTTTTCTCTAGTCCCTCAATTAAACAACTTTTATACACGAGGGGAGGAGTCAGCCGGCCGTCCTGGCGATGTAAACAAAGTGAAGATAGGACTCTGAAAACTCTGAAAACATCACAGACAGTGGGACTCGGGTGTTACACCCATTGTAGACAGTCATGACTCACAGAGTTATTTTCAGAGGAGATACTTGATTTCTACATTTAAGTGTGAAAAATCACATTTAAAGACTTTAATCTTCATTAAAGAGATTTACAGAAACAATATCTCAAATCTCTTACAAAGAACTAAACACATACCAATGATCAAAGATAACTATAGAAATATTTCTGTTTTTCATGTTTTCATGGCAGTTTTTGAAACATTTTCTTTATGTTTACACTTCATTGATATTTGAAACTGACTTGTAGGCCACATCCAGGGTTGAGGGGGGCCACATGTGGTCCGCCAGTTGCCCATCCATGATCTACAGTTTATGGCTGCAAAACTTTCTCATGACCCGTGATCACTCCACAACCTGCAGGAGATATTTGACACCAGTTATACAACATATAAAAACCTATAATAGCAGGGAGGGAGACTGAGAGAGTGCTGAATAATTTAACACCATAATAACCCTCTGTGCGGTTTGTATCCCTGATTCAGATATCCGTCTCTAGTATTCAGGTAAAATAAAAGACAAACACCAACATGTATCCTGAGTGCAGTTAAGGAAGACATTAAGGAAACATGCTATGTTGAAGTGCTGGCTTCTCTGACAACAATACAGCAGCCAGTATGTCCTCCTTCTAACTTTAACTATCTGTAATGTTTTGATACATGATACTGAACTGTCATCTTACTGGTGTATATATGTTGTAATAACGGTGCATAACTGAAATACAATTAGCCCATACTGATAGTCATGTGATAAGCTGAATCAGTCGGGCTCTAATAAGGAGTACTCCTACTTTTTGTCACTGTTGTATTCTGCAGTAAAGAGAGTCTTTTCTACTTGAACTCTGTCCACGTGTCTCAGTGAA